GATCTCCCCGTGGAGATTCGTACCCTCACCACCGTCCAGACCTTCCGCACAGCCCTCAAGATCTGGCTATCCCGTCAGGCCTGGGGATAAGATCCTAATCCGCCCCGCCCGAATGCTGAATGAATGTTGTGTTTTACTGTTTTATTTTATTTTATTCACATTTTATGTTTTGTCTTGCACTCCCTCCCATGAGTTGTAAGCCGCCCTGAGTCCCCTCAGGGAAAAGGGCGGCCTATAAATGCCAAATAAAACTCTAAAAAAAAACCTCTAAAAATTGCACCCAGAAGCAAACTGGCAAACAGTGCAGCCCACGAAGCAGTGGTATAACATGGTCTTAAGAACTGCCCACATAGTTTGAAAGCCCAATTTAGTCCAAGAAAGAATTATCAATCTGGTTTTCATGTTTAAGAGGAGACTGAAACCTGAGAATCCCTGTTCCTAGTTAAATCATTACAACTTAACTAGTTCAGGATATACATGTAAAGCTGCATATACTAAAATTCCATCTATAAATTTATCCTTTATTACTTTAATGCAATTCACATTTAATACAACTATTTCAAGAAAACTTTACTTAATATAAACATATTTGGAGGATTCTCAGAAGTGCACCACATGCAGTTCTTACGTAGTTGAAAACTAGTTGTTTCCAATCCGATACCTTCAAGATATATTAAAGTTACAACTTTGAGGATTCTCAGCCAAACCTTTGGCCATTTTACAAACAAATTTATCAAAATAATGTTGCTTTATCTGGCTTTTCTCTGACAAATCCTATAAAATCCATGCCATAGAAAGAATTTATTTGAAGCCTGAAACCAAAGAGCATTTGCTAAAATCCACTCTAGATATTTTTAAACACCATCAAGTATTTCTAAATTTGTTTTGTGCCCTTGTAAACTATAAAATATGATTCTATGAAAATAATTGGTTATTGGAATGGTGCTGCTAAAAAGAGGTTTTGTTAAGTACAGTGAAAAAATCTGGACATTTAAAAAAGACCTCAACTACAAAATTCTCTTCAAAACTTTTAGGAGACCTTTTAAAATAAATAAAAAAGGAAGACTAAAAAAAATCCTTTTCTGGCCAAATAATCTATCAAAGGAAAACTGGAGCTGCAGCAAGGAATTTCTAATAATATAAAACATTTTTTACGTGTAGCAGTCATTTTTTAAGTCTGCATGCATATACAAAGTAAATGTTTTTAAAAGTATTTGCAGTCATTTATCCACCCAATTAAGAAATTTTATTTGGTTTCTAAAGTCAAAAGTTACAATACAATACAATAGCAGAGTTAGAAGGGACCTTGGAGGTCTTCTAGTCCAACCCCCTGCCTAGGCAGGAAACCCTATACCATTTCAGACAAATGGCTATCCAACATCTTCTTAAAGACTTCCCGTGTTGGGACATTCACAACTTCTGGAGGCAAGTTGTTCTACTGGTTAATTGTTCTCACTGTCAGGAGAGTGTCTGATTGTAGAATCAGAATGTTCAAGTCTGATAAATTTAAAATTTCCAAATAGCGAGGTAGCCCTTTAGAAATTTTAAATTTATCAGACTTGAACATTCTGATTCTACAATCAGACACTC